GCTACATCTGTTAACAATTTTAAAACCTTATACTTGAGGTTTTATCACGCATTGATGTATACAAATTGATAATCTCCTGTATGTTTTTACATTTATGTATTTTAATAGTTTGAATATGTTAAATTTATATTGTTCCTTGTTGAGGGCCTCATGGAAGGTTGATATGTTTGTTCAAATGAGTTCTCTCGTTAAATAAAGTCTTTATTATTATTATTATTATTATTATTATTATTATTATTATTATTATTATTATTATTATTATTATTATTAAAAATAGAAATGTTTGATGAAATCACTGTAACATAATTGATAAAATAACGGCAATAAAATTCTCTTCAAAGAAGTAATGGTTATTCCTTACTGTGTAAAATGAAAAAAAATTATAAAAAGTGGGACACTCTAAATTTCGGATGACAGCTGTATCTAATACGTGTTATATTATGTCCCATCTGGTACAGACAGGAAATGTAATTGATAATTTTATTATATATTCTTGTTCTTAAATGTACAACATTTATTACTAATTCTATCGAAGTAACTGTCATGCGCATGCATGATTTACGTTCTTCAGTGTGATCTAGAAATGGGCACCGATCATTTATTACGGAAGTATCTTATGGAGTTATTAAAACACGTGCAAAGAGTATTCGAATTTAGACATACTCATTAAACTCCGCTGAAGTCTAAAGGCACAAAAATAAACTTTGAAAATCTTATAAATATCAAGTGAAGCACTTAAATAAAAAAAAATCTGCAAAGGATAGCAAAAGTAATTTACTATCTAGAATCGAAAATCGATTTTATGTGCGATTATTGCCCAACTGAGAGAAAGGGGTTTCAACGCTTTTCATTTTTGGGCAATTTTTCACAATCAAAAAGATTGTTTTGGAAAAACAGGATGACGAAATGAGATACAAAATTGCATGCACGTTATAGGATAAGACCTTATCAAAAATTGTTATACAAATCTCGGAAAAAATATTTTCAGCCACGTCATGTCAAAAAACTTCAGTGGTGTCATATTTAATCAGTACATTTCCCTATTGCACATACTTTGTAAAAACAATTAGTCGTCGGTAGAAAACCTTAAAGTAAACTTCGTCTTCAAAGTAGAATGCGTTACAAAACTGACATATGAATTTTTTTGCTTCGTGTGACTGTTTAACTTTTAAAAAGTATTCCATGATTGTGGAGGCGGTCAGAATTTAAGTTTACGGAAATATGCGATTAATGAATTATCGTCTAACCTTTAAGCAAAATGTCTAACCAAAATGAAACTTATCATACTATTTTGTCAAATGTCCGCGAATTAAAACTCAAAAAAGCGTGGGTATGAAACTTCAGTTTTAAGTAAAGGTCGAATTAAACAAGTGTTCATTGCCTATAGTAACATAGTTCCCTTCTAAATCTTGCTGGATGTTCGACACAACAGTATAATAGTTCTTAACAGTTGTTTTTATATAGCTCAAATATTTCAAATAATATATAAAAGTTAATTATAGTAAAAAACACTATTTGTTAAAGAAAAGAATCTTGCATTTAAAATTTCTATATATCAGTATAAAAACGATTCTTAGGAATATTACAAGAAAATATCGTCTTTTCAGAAGTAACCAGTGATGAAATAAACTAATACACAAGCCCTTGATCAGTATTACAAAATTATTCCCCACTCCCTTCCACCCCAAACAAACCACAAGACCTTACGGTAGGCAAAAGTCATCAGGAGAAAATGTTCAACAACTTAGGAGATAATTCACACATTTACTGATGGTTTATAGATGGTGCCCCGGAAAAGGCACGTGAGTCCTAGTTTGAATGGCTCCGCATTACAGTGGCTCGTCAGCCTATTAGTGTATTGCCTACTTTACCTTTCCATATTGTCAAAGTAAGGTCAGCTTAGTCCTTAATGGTCAATGTTCAAGGACCAACTTTAAGCGTTCGCGATTTTCAATGGACATATGTAGAGTATTAACTCTAGTTAATAACATTAGGTAGTAAATCAAGGACCGTAGGATTGCTATCTAGTGCCTTTCTGAGCGGGCCGGCTTTTATTAAGCATAGAATACATAATTATAACTTATTTAGTTACTGTAAGGGAATATCGATCTCGCAACTTTTGCATTTGTAGCCGGACATTGATTATCATTGGAGCATTTTATATCATTTTTATAATCATCTCATTATTATACAATTTTAAATATTAATGTCATGATAGGCGATGACAATTGCCTTTATGATTTAAGAAAGAAGTTCTTTCAATATAATTAATTCAACGTTTGTAAAACCGCTGATATTTCAATTTTATTTCCACATTTTACAAATTATTGTTAATTATAGGCCAATGAACGATAATGTAAGTTATTTCCGTATAAGCAAACATAAACCACAACTAATATACGTCCTTCATACGGCATTTAAACTGTTTGTGTTTTTAATTAAAACTCAAAATGACTTCGTTTACGTCAAATGAAAAATATTACTATGAGCATGCATTTTATTTTAAAAGTGGTCAGCACTGAAATGTACATGTAAGTAAATCAAAGTTAAATATGGCTTCATACAAAACAGAAAAAACATGAACTATTTTTGCTTCCTTTTCTTTTGTTAAGCTCTTTTCGCTAAAAAATCGGATGAAAATATTGAGGGGGCACCTCTTTTTTAGACCCCCCGCCTTGTTTTGACCCCCTTGTAACACACGTTTAACTTGTTAAATTTGTTTATATTTTTCATTTTCAATGTATAAGTTTAATAAATGTGTAAATAGGTGGAGGCTCAACGTAGAGATCAGGCGCTCTAGCCTTACTTGGGGCACCTTCAAAATCAATAAGTAAAAAAAATTCATGCATATTCCAACAAACAGGTATACCCGTCTTGTAGGCAGCGAACAATAGTACGAAAACATAATAGTATAACTCTATTTTAATGCGTATTGATGTATTTCTTATTTAAATGAAATATACTTTGCTCAGTAAAATATCTTAAATTATTGCAGATCTAAATAATCCTTACCAAATATGCTTGATTACTGGCACAGAATCTTAAGGAACTAATTTAGCAAATGCCAGCCAATGAATGACTTGAATACTACAAACGATTCTTTGAGGCAAAATGAAAGGAACTACAATGAGCCCCAAAAGTTTTGAAATATAGAATTTTAATTTATGTAGATCAGTTGGGACTCTTAAAACAGAAAGATATGCAAAGACAATTTAAAAAAATTGAAAACCGCATTTAAGCCCGATTTGAGCGAAAAGCATTGCAACGGTTTCCAACTTTAGGTTCTTTTTTACAATTATAATTATTATCCTGGAAGAATGGAGTTGAAAGTTTGCACACAAGATATTGGTTTAGACTTACATCAAACGAAACATTAATCCCGAAGAAAATATTTCCAGTCATGTCATGTATAAAAATACCCAAAAAGTGGAGTCTCTTTATAACTAGATTAGATCTAATTCGTAATAACAAGTGTTGAACCCTAACATAAATCAATTTACAATATATATGACATGTACAAGATGCAAACAAGACAAAAGATGTAATACATCAAACGGAGCCGTAATGTTTGGTTTGCAATCTGACATAGTTATGAATTTTAAAATACTTGTGGTGTTTGTGACAAAAATGTCTTTATTACTCGAAGACCACATTTACTTGGGATATGGATATGATTGGGTCGATTTTGAGACCCCCATCGTTACCAATTTTAAACCAAACAACAATATTAATAATTCAACATGAAATAATAATCACGTCGCTAAAATAGAGAGTTGCTCCCAATTTGCACTTTTAGTTAACTCGCATATAAAGTAGGTATAGATTTGCAACATAATAAGTAAAAGTACATGATAAATTTGTTAATTATTTTGTTTCTTATTATTAGAGAAACATGATGTATACAATGTTTCATGTATGTCAATGAGTACTCTTAAATTGATTTCGTTTTTTCAGAAATATGTTCCAATCATGATAATACCAAAAAAGACTTAATTTTAAACGGATTTCATATTACACATTTTCTTCTGTCGTTGTTTGACATAAACAAGTTACGCGGTAGAACAATATTCCGAGATGAAAACAAATGTATTCATAATCGTTGGGCTGCTTCGAATGCGCTTAAAGTTGACAATGTTATTACATTTATAAATTTCCTTTGTTGGCAGACAATATAGATTTGAAGAGAAACGTTGCAATACTGACACAACGTGATGCGAAGGAAATACAAACGGGTATAGTTTTGTATACAATGTGATGTATAATTGCATATAATGGTCGACAAGTCTTGAAGATATTTTTTTTATTAAAAAAAAACCTTTTAAAAAATTTAAACTAAAACATATCTATTAATATCTTTGGAAATATTTATTCCTATGATAAAATAGATAAAATAACACTTTTAATAATCATTTTGCAGTTGCGGTTGATTTTTTTGAAATCATTTAAGCATAAATTAGCAAATGTTTTCTTATTAGTGTCTCACAAGTCTCATCTTCATTAGAAAATCCAAGAGGAAGGAAGCTAACACTTGCCAAAATGGAGGTAATAAAGAAAACCTTATCATTTACTTTAATGACAAGTTATCTCCCATTGACTGTATATACGCTAAAGAGAAGCAGAAATTAGTGAAACTCTGGCTTTATCGGTAAAATTCCTTATTAATATCAGCATCATTATTATCACCAGCATGCAGTTCAACATTTGCAGAAAGTTAGAAATTCTTACTTTAGTCATATGGTCACTAATTTACAAACTGTCTAAACATGCATTTGTAAATTTTAATATATCGGCAATTTAATTTAAAATATAACACAATCGGAAGAAGTTTATTCGGAAGAAGTTTATTTTGATGGCATTGTAGTGTAATGGCATGTGGTGAGTCGTGTAAATTATGAGAGGCATCTGTGATGGCATTTTTCTTTCGAACACCCCTCATGTTTCTGTAGACTGGGTAGAACTTTCCGAGACATATTGCAATCACTATGGGCAGGTTATTTACGTGGGTATATACGGTACTTGTTTTGTGTAATACCAGATGCCGTGTTCTAACTTGGAATCATTTCTATTCTCACTACAGACTCATCAGGTCGCTGTGAGAATTGTGTGTTCACCTGTTTTATATTACGAGAGCTAGGAAGAAATAACAGGATAAAACAAAATGGTGAGTTCCATTTAACTTTATTATCTTAAGGCATTTAAATGTGCCTCTTTCAAATAATATATATGAACTCAGATAATGAACTTTTTTATAAATTGTGTTTCCATTATTTTTGTACTCGACAAATTTCGAAAACATAAGGAAACTGCGCAATAAAAATAGAATCGAGTTTGTAAAGTTTATGTCTGTAGTAAATCCAGCACATAGTTTGCAAAATAACAAACATTATTTCTATAAACGGAAGTGATAAAGTCTTCAATTTTTTTATTTCGATTTTGATATCCCTTAAACTTTGTATGGAATGTTTCAAAATCAAATCTTGGTCAGTCCATTTCACGAATTCAGCAAGTTAAATGTTACATAATTATAAATAGCATTATTGTTGTAGTTTTATGTTTTTTGTATACTTAAATTAAAGTCGAAAGGGAAAATGTTGAATAATCTGCCCCTCAGATTAAGAAACTGGTAAAGAGGTAAAGATATAGCCCAACAAATTGTACGCTTTAGGGCTTTTTATTATATAGACTATGGTCGCCCTTAAAGACAGACATCTATGAAAAATTAGATAATAAAATCGGTTGGTCTTGCAGTCACTGTAGGGTTAGGCACAGGCGTTCGGCACATTTGCCATGCCAATAATGGGTCAAATAATCATAAAATAATCACCCATTGATCATCTTTTATATATATTTTATATAGTAAACGGGTGCTGGATAGCAATTTTGTTCTTGATGGTGAAGGGGTGATTATTTTATGATAATTTGACCATTATTGGCATTGCAAATGTGCCGAACGCCTGTGGAGTTAGGTTGTTGTAGAATTGCTTTATAAACAAGGCTCTTTATGTAATCATTTTGAAGAATTTTTTCTTCAGAACAAATGGATTTTCATGTTAATATTATAATAAGTTAGAGGGGACACAAGATCTCTAGAGCTGAACTACTGGACATGTCTCAAGTTTATGAAACTTTATTGTAGTTTTTCATATAATTTGTCATGGTATACATGTTTTAATAGTGTAGAAATTGTTCTATCACATTTAAGACAATATTTAAGATAATTGGCAGAGTATCAGGAAGGGAACGTGTAATTTACAACTCAATCCTGTCTTAGTCAGTCAGAAAGGAAGGTGAATTATTCATAGAGAATGCTCGTGTAAATACAATTGGTACTTATCACAATGTTATATCTAATAATACTTCACGCGCTTATGTTTAAATTGGACTTTTAAATTATTTAAGTCAAGTAACCCGCAATACCTATATCATGTACGAGTATATTGACCATTATCCAAAATTTTCACTGGAAAAATATTGAACTTGAAAAAAAAATTCGTTGACTTTAAGATATATTTTGTAATAGTGCCTTTTGGCCGAATAAAGTTCAGATTCTTTTAAATTTGTTGTCTTTTGTCATTGATCATTTTGATAGTTTGTGAAAAAAGTATTAACATAAATTAAATGATTTTTAAGCTATATAGACAATACAAAATCGGGTAGAAAAATATGTTTTAGTTGCAGTATAAAAAATAGAAGAGTAGTTAACATCAGTATTATGGAATACAAATTAAATATATCGGTATTTAAGTGTTCAGTATATTAATTAGATTACATTGGGAATGAATTAGTTGATTTCCCACTAGGTAAATGAGTGTCAGTAAAGGTATTTTATTATAGAACAGATGTTACATCTGGTAGTTTTCATGCCATGAATAATTTCAACTATAATGAGAGATTTAGGCAGAGTTTACAGGGAAGATATTGTTTATTGTTGTTTGTGTGTCTATGCCATTCCAACAATGTGTTTAAGTCAATATCCAAAAACAGCACGTCTGTAGATATCTAGTTTGTAATAGATGGAGTACTTACATGTGTACGCTCAAAATGAAATGAGTTATTAAGAATCGCAACTTACATGCAGTTGTAAGAAAGGTCTGCAAAAAGCCTTGTTATCAAAATAAGTTTTCTTCAGAATGATTCACAATCAGAATATCACGAACATTATCATTTATTCCTCATAATATCATTCCGTTATGTAGTAGTATTAGTATTGATTAAGCTTTTTGATACAACTGGCCGATTACTGATAATTTAGAATGCAATGCCATAAAAAAGCATGAATTTGTACTTAGCTTAGTATAATTTTTGTGTAAAGGTCTAACCAATGAACATTTTGATAAATTATACAATTCGTTTAATTTTAAATATTCTGACCGACAAACTTATTTATCTGCAGCGTGAATGTATCTCTATCCACGTCGGGCAAGCCGGGGTACAGATAGGTAATGCCTGTTGGGAATTGTATTGTCTGGAACATGGTATCCAGCCCGACGGCACCATGCCCAGTGATAAGACAGTCGGAAGTGCTGATGACTCATTCAATACGTTTTTCAGCGAAACTGGAGCTGGGAAACACGTTCCGAGAGCAGTCTTTGTAGACCTTGAACCAACTGTTGTCGGTAAGTGACCCTAGCATATCTGGGAATCAATAATTTAACCCTTACATCCTGCTGGAACCGAATGTGATTAGTCTTGCCATCATGCAATCTGATCAAGCTCTACCAACCCCCCAATTTTCATCTTGATACTCAGTAAATGGAATGGACAGTCCCAAAAATTGAAGCTGGACAAGTCCATTTCAGAAACTCAGCAGGTTAATAATTAGGTTAGAAAGGCAAGTACTTGGTATAACTGTATTCTCGGTATTATTTCAATAATGGTGTGCTGATTGACGAAAGCCCTAAGTGCACATCATAATGATACTTTGATTTCCCGTTCAACAACTCCAGAATTACCATTTAGTCTTGGAAATATATTAAGATCAATGCGTATTTTCTCTGCAGCATAAAAAACCCCAACAGCAATTGCTTTTTACTCTCAGTCATAGTGCATGTAGATATACTTAAATTCTTTCTTCGGGGAAAATATATGTCAGAATCAAGAAACATTAGTTTATCAGACTCAGAGCTGAGACTGTAAAAATACTGACAAATTTTTGATATTTTCACTAAATTATTCACCATATCACTTGAGAAAATTAGTTTCGTTGAACTCAAGTTGCACGTCTATTTATAAATTGCGCATGTTGGCACCTGTTAACGATTTACACATTTCTCCCTCTCTCTCTCTTCCTCTATCTCATACGCCTTTTGTTTCCATGGTAACTGTAGAAAATAGTTTACAAACAAAAATGATACATTCTCCGGAATGTTACGATAGTAAGACTTGTCAGGTTGGAGATATCAAGAGAAAAATATACCTTACTCACTAATGTTATTTCTACCGATAGAGTGTTTCTTAAAACCGCTACATGATACATGGTGTACGAAAAATGCGTCACTGGCTCACTTAGATGTAGCCATCCTGTAGACATACCTTTGAATTTGTAAGCGTATATTTTGGTATAGTCATACCACTGAATCCCAGGGTTCACCGTACAAAACATGTACATGTACCTTATTAGACGATTTTACCTTTGTAAATGAAATTGTTCAGCTTAACAATAGTTAACCTATATAAACTATTTTTACACATTTAAACAATATGGTAACTCAATATTGTACCCTTGAGTTATTTAATAGTTTATTCATTCTTACGGACTTACTTTTATCTTTTATTTCTTGATATAAATTTCACATTTACTTTTATAGAAATTAAAATTTATTCTGGGTGGAGTTTTTCAGTTATATAAGATGAAAATTGAAGCTCTGTGATGTTTCATATGTTCCGATAATACTTTTATTTCCCTACACTATAGTATTACAGTAGCCGACTTTGAACTACATATAATAATACATAAACCATATGGAAACATTAAAGATCATTCAGATTGTGACTGAGTTTCACCACTTAACTCTAAGCGCTATTTTATATCGCTTAAGGTGTGAAGCGACCCTCAGTCGACACGAAAACGGTCTGTTTTCGTTGTTGTTTCTGCTGCTGCTGCTGCTGTTGTTGTTTTTTTTTTAACTTCAGGGCTGATTTATTATCTATAGTTCTTTTATTTTCTATTTTATCAGATGAAGTCCGCACTGGAATTTACCGCCAACTGTTTCACCCGGAACAACTTATAACAGGCAAAGAGGATGCCGCTAATAATTACGCCCGAGGACATTACACCATTGGTCGTGAAATCGTTGATCTTGTTCTGGACAGGATTCGCAAGTTGTCAGACCAGTGCACGGGACTCCAAGGCTTTCTGATTTTCCACAGCTTCGGTGGCGGCACCGGCTCCGGGTTTGCATCACTTCTAATGGAACGTTTATCTGTTGACTACGGTAAGAAGTCCAAACTTGAGTTCGCTGTTTATCCAGCCCCTCAGGTTGCTACTGCGGTAGTTGAACCATACAACTCTATCTTGACCACACACACTACGCTTGAGCACTCAGACTGTGCTTTTATGGTTGATAACGAGGCAATTTACGACATTTGTCGCCGTAACCTTGACATAGAGAGGCCAAGCTACACTAACCTTAATCGTCTGATTGGTCAAATTGTTTCATCGATCACTGCATCTCTTCGATTTGACGGAGCTCTTAACGTTGATCTTACCGAGTTCCAAACTAACTTGGTACCATATCCACGTATTCATTTCCCCTTGGCGACATACGCACCAGTTATCTCAGCAGAAAAGGCTTATCATGAGCAGTTATCTGTTGCTGAAATTACCAACGCTTGCTTCGAGCCAGCCAACCAGATGGTGAAATGTGACCCACGTCACGGCAAGTACATGGCATGTTGTATGTTGTACCGTGGTGATGTTGTCCCCAAGGATGTTAATGCCGCTATTGCAACAATTAAGACGAAGAGAACCATCCAGTTTGTCGACTGGTGTCCAACTGGTTTCAAGGTCGGTATCAACTACCAACCACCAACAGCGGTACCAGGTGGGGACCTCGCCAAGGTACAACGTGCGGTGTGTATGTTGAGCAACACCACAGCCATAGCCGAGGCCTGGGCTCGTCTAGATCACAAATTTGATCTTATGTATGCTAAGAGGGCGTTTGTTCACTGGTACGTTGGCGAGGGCATGGAAGAGGGCGAGTTTGCCGAGGCTAGAGAGGATCTTGCTGCGCTCGAGAAGGACTATGAGGAAGTTGGTGTCGACTCCATAGAAAATGAAGGAGACCTTGATGAAGAAGAATATTAAGCTGAAATTCTGTTTAAATTCTAGTCCATTATAAAAGACAGATACTCCTTTCACAAAATGAACACAACAGATATGTCTATGCAGTAAATAACATTTATAAGATAAATTACATGTTGTTAATCAGTTTCAACTTTGTATGATAATTCTACATTATGTATAAACTTCTGAGACAGTGTCCTACAGAGGTTTCTAAACATGCCAGTCACGTGCTTTTATATAGTTTTGTCTGATGATTTTATTTGTTTTAGTTTTCAATACAGATTTCTATTCTTATTAAACAAATTTGGTGCACGAGATGATTTATATAAATGCCGTTTTTAAAAATCAATAAAACCGTTCCAGAATCCGATATCTTTGTTATGCTGGAACCGGAAGTGCTTACCCTTTCCCGCCAGTTAGAGTCAAGCATGAAACAGTCTCTAAACTGTTGGAAGCACGATGTTTGTGTTTTGATAATGAAATACCTTTTGAATACCACAGTACTAAATTCAGAAGTGAACGTCCTTTACATACATTCAGCAGGTTATGTTAACCACAAAACAACCTATAGACATCAATTCTACTATTTCATACTATTTCATTAAAATTGTAAACATTTTCTAATTGTTAAAGGGAGACAAGTGAGTTTTTTTGACATAACGGGACTATAACATTGTGTACCATTTAATGAAGGTCTGAATATATAACTTGTATGCAATTTCCAGATCATTCCATCACTTCGTATTTCCAGAATAACATTTTTTTATTCTGCAAAATGACACAAAAATGAAAAGCTTTGCCACGCTTTTCACTCAAGTCGGGCTAAGACTTGCAATAATTATTGATTTCCAATTTAACTCTGAGTATATATTTATTATCTCCCATTTTAGCTTCACATGATCTGTTGAAAATATAAATACATATTTTGCCATGGTAACAACAACAGCCTGTAATCAACTAAACAATGGTGTGAAACTGGTCACAGACACTATGACTTTATGTCTATCATGTTTAAAGAATACAATAATAATATATGCCAATATATTTCTTATAGTGAATTGATCTATAATGGAAGGTTTAGAAACAATAAATAATTACATTGATAGTGTTTAGTATCAGACATAGCTAGAAACCACGAGTGAATAACGTATACAAATGTACATGTTGGCAAGCGTGAAATACATGATCCGAACTTAAGTATACAGATAATAAAATGTTCTAGAACAAAATATTATTATTCATGACATAAATGTTCATACTAAGTAACGTAAAACTTCATCAACATTTCTGTTCCAAACATTATTTTATAAGAATATCCAAAAGATACATTTCTATTGTTTTGATCAATATTTGAAATATGGAAATTTGCCCATAGTAGATTAATCACTCGAATGGTTCATGCATAGAATCATCGCTCATCCTACATAACCATACTTCAACTAACAGCTTTTACCCCCGAAAATTTTATTATGTCTACATGCAATACCCATGTGTATTAAAACACAGACATTCTACGTTACAACCCTTTCGAGAATCGACCATACGGTTATGGTAACAATAGAAAATTTTCGAAACATAAATGATAAAATTCGTTGCTGAAAATATCAAAGCTTTGGTAAAGAAGTAAGAATTGTTTCCATATTTACTAACGGTTGGTTACATAAGATCAACATCTGTTTGTAGTAGAACAGAATTTCTCACAGGCGTCATATACACAACAAGGCCAAAATCTCCCTGATATTTTTCTGTACTGATCAGGGGAAGTAACCATTACTAGGAGATTGCTGATACACTTCAAACATTTTGCAGTGGTTAGTTCCCCTGAACAGTAAAAGAATAACAAGTAAAATGGTTTCCTGCGATGATATACAGATATTTCATTTAACTATTTTCAACATTGTTGGGGGGGGGGGTAAATAAACGTTTGTATCAGGAATATAGTTGACAATAATCGATCAATATAGAAGAAGGTCTTTGGAAACTGGTGACCGTTGATGACCGGAGAAGGTAGAACATAAAACAATTATTTCTTTTTAAGTAAATGATTAAATAGGCCTACCATTTTATGAATATTTCCGAGCAAAAAAAAAAAATAAAAAAAAATAAAGTAAACACACAAGTTTACGCAGAAAATATCTCTATTTATTATGGCAGATGCCACTACGAATATTTTTATTTTGTAGATTTTCAGTATAAACAATTTATTGTTTGTAACATTTTGAGATACATATTAAAGAAACATTGATAATTTTCAAACACATCATTCATCTATGAAAGAATTTCAAATTTTTTGTTATCATGCATTTTGACGTCAGTAAAGCTCCTTTGACATGTACTGGTGCCATATGAGGATATACGTCCAAATCAGTTATTCCGCGTCTTGTTATTTGTATTTCGTATAAAGAAGCCATTGCTTGTTCGATATTTTCCATGCTAGTGAGACGTTATTTTTTGATTACGTCATTTCAAGTTATATTTTGATAATAAATCATTGCATTTAGTTTTTTTTAAATGCCCCATGAGTCATGAACGCATATCAAAAATGTGCAACAACGGCGAGTTGTCACAAAAATCTGTCCCTTAATGCATTTTTGTCCTCCGTGAATGTATACCTGTGTGCAGTTTTGATGCAAGAATATGACTCGAACATAACAGTTCTTCGATTCGTCACCACACATAATTATAGTCAGTAAATAGTACGTCGGTAAATAAAGCGGCAGGGAACTTCCTCATTTACCCACTTTTCGTATTATACATGCATTTCATTAAAAGTTCAATTGATTTAAATTTAAAACACACAGTGCTATTGTAAAAACATTTTTTAAGTCAAGTAAACAGGACAAATCATAATAAAATGATATTCATCTGCTAAATCTTAAAGGTTGCAAAAACTACATTTTCTTTCAAATCTTAAATGTTTTTTGTCTCCTAATTTCTGTATTGAAATGGTGCGAAGACACTCTAAGTTTTCAATTTTACTTCTCATTTTCGAGCAATACATTGTAATAAATCTGATATTTCAAAGCGAATTTTGTGTTCTTTAAAGAACGAAAGTATAAGGTTTTAATTTCCAAAATCTAGTTTCAAGGTATTAATATATTATAAATGTCTTTATGTCTAGTTTATATAAAAAGGGTGCTCAGAGCAGACAGTTTTCTCCCCTTGTAATATACATGTATAAATTATAACGTTTGATGCCAAAATTACCTTCATTAATGTTTACAGGGATAAACATCTTTGTAAGTCAGTAGAACGTTATTAACGTTTAGAATCTGTACTAAGATTTGCCTCGTCAAAATAAAATTGTAAATCATTGATGATATTCTTCGCAATTAATTTCTTTAAATTTTTAAATGTCACTGAATTATGAATACATCATTTTCGTGTGGTTGTTTTTTATCGTCCTTAATGAAACGAAGTATGCCCAAATTTTATTACATAAAAAATTAGCATTAAAGTAAAATAGAATCTGTTATCGTATATCGTATCACATATCAATCACCTGGTAGTTATACATAATAATGGCGGAATGTAATATACATGTATAACTGGGTGTTAATTAATTCATGTCCGCTCAGAAGTCTCGCTTACCACTCGAGATGTGTACGTACATATTTTGTGTCGTAATTTTCATTCAATTTGATGCACGTTCATACCAATAACTTGTGTACAAACCAATGTGTTTTTCCAGGGTACACATACTTATCAATAAAATATTGAGAAATACATGTATTCATGAAATAAAATGCTAATTTTTATTTTTCTTATTTTCACTGTAAAAATTTATTTTTCACTGCAGTGTAACACATTTTCCGAATTTTCACCGGTGCCTCGCCGGACTATTTTCTTCTAAATTCAACCAATACACAAAATTAAAGGGGAATTCTTCCTTTTCATAAGGTAAGAAAAGAAAAAAAGCACATAATAAACAGAAAAATAAAGTTTTTTCTAAAAAAAATAAAAAAGTACCTAATAAACAGAAAATTAGTTTTCTAATAATATAGGATTTCGATCTCTTTTCATCTTGTGATATGAAAATTATCATATTTCACCTGTGGCTCCCGTCACTTGTGAAATATTTATTTTTATACTTCTCGGTGAAAATAAATCCTGTATTTATAGAAAAAAAACTTGAATAACCTCTATATATTAACAAATTTAAGTGCCTCATTTCATCTATGTAAGATTTTATTCATTCATTCTTTTTTATCTTTTTTTAATTATATGCTTTTGGACCTTACTGAACCTCCATGATATTCTTAAGTCTATTAGGCAGTTTATGTTTTTGATGAAAATATTTTGTATATGCCGAATATGCTGTAATCTATTCTGTGGGCCCATGTACACATGCCACTGACCTAAAAATAACTATTAGTGGTGTTCAAAAACAATAGTCGTATCTGACCTAATTTGACCAAGTTCTCGCCTTCAAATTGAAGAGGAGAAATTCAGACTGGTATGCTAATAATCTTAATAAAACTTTGCAGTTTATGCGAAAAGTGTTAACCAGTCTTACAAGCATGTCACAACTCCCACGAAATGTCAAAATGACCTGTCAGTGTCACTGAAATTAAAAAAAAATATACATGACCCGCAAAGCAGGGAAGGACACTCGTTTAAGTTCCCCGCAAGTAAGAAGGTAAGTCATTTATTTACGAATGAGAGCGAAAACTTGCAATGGTCCAGATATTGTTTCAGTTTCATGTGTTCACGTGACAGGAAAAATTATGGTGAGGCAAACATGTAAGGAAGTCAATAGTAAGGTTATGATGTTATTTTGTATGATTTGCCTATATCATTAGTTTTCATACACTTTAGTGCGAATAATGGTCAACTCTGCATAAAATTTATGATCTTTGTACGACCAATGAATCAGTTGGTTTTAGCATAATAAAAGATACATGTAGCCTGCATCCACATGTATTGTTTGTCTATTTTCGTTTTTATCAAGGTCTTTCAAATAGAATGGTCTGGAAACGCGCTGTGAAAAAAACCTTCTCGCTACAATTAAACATGTCTCGGTATAACTTGGTATAATTTACTGTCCGCAAATTATGTAACTGTTAAGATAAACAAAAGGGCGAAAATTAAGTACAAGAACAAAAATGAAAATTTTAACAATACGCAATGATCTTTATAAATCTTTTAACTTGTGGATAAAGGATAAATATTTCAGATAATAATGTTTTTAAAGCCATGATCTGTTAAAAAAGATAGATTGCTTGTTCAGAATATTTGCTGACAAACGACCACGCATGAATTTAAAAAAGCTTATGAAACATGGACCTTTTTTCAAATATGAGCTGTAGATTTTAATCTTGACACTGGTAATGAAAAATTCCTAATTTTAATGCAAATCTATAAAATTACTACTTTTTAAAGTAAAAGCTGACAATGTAATGCAGCCTTATTGGATTAGTTTATATTAATGTACAAAACAAAACATTATCTTATAACTTGTTTTCTTAATGGTGATACACCATGCCAGATCACGTCGGTAGATAACCTAATCATGTGACTCAGCCTAGAGTAGACATCTTTTTTGTAAAATTGATCCGACTCCAGACCATTCTATTTGAAAGACCCTGTTTTCATCTACTTCGGTCTATGTTGTTTCTTGTTTTCCCATCATTGTCAAATCCCTGTTAGTTTGGAGGGACCTATACATATGCTTTAAAGTCATGCCACATAACTGCTCTCTGTGTGATCAAAGTACAGTTCAGTAATCTCACCATACTGGTGGCATCACATCAGCTGCCCTGATTCAGATACAACCTTGCTGCTTTTATATATATATATGTTGATATGACATTGTCATAGATTGCCTATCATGTCAATAACACTATCTCATTGAAGCGAACTATGTCTAAACTTTTGGACTATAATGATTGACATGTCCAATTTTAAACTTAAAAGCTGAAAAAGTAAAAATTTGTTGATTTATAATTTAGTTCATGAATTGAATAGATCTTTTTTTCATTTTAAGGTGAACTGATTTGGAATTCCAGGAGAATTGCAGGAAGTGTCATAGAGTCACATTAGCAATGCCAAGACAGCCTAGAACCTCTGCTAACAAAGGCAAAGCAAACCAGGTGAAAACATCCCAGGAAGTTGAGGAAAAGATTCCATACATTTCTGGTTATAAGCGCCCTAGTGAAAATGATAGTAAAAAAGCTATAGGTTTTCTTTCAGAAATTCCTGTTGAGTTTGACCCAACACCAAGTAAAGATAATTGTGTGTTTTTTCCACATTTACCAGACCCTACACATGTTGACGACTGGTTAGCACAATATTGTGAGGATGGACAAACATACAAACAATTTCTTAAAGAATGTCCATGGCTATCTAGTCGAAAGAGAAAGTATATGTCTCAGGAGTTCAAATCCTCAGGTCAAACAATAAAAGACAAGTATCCAGATGGTAAAGTTTATATAGTTCCTATAGGTGCTTTTGACGAGAAGGATTCTATGTTCTTCTCAAGCTTGATAGAGTATACAAGTATATTTCTTGGTCTACCAGTCCAAGCTTTGTCAAAAGTTAACTTAAATGTTGAAGATGGTAATGTTTATTGGGTAGAAAGTCCAAAATCCAAAGTCAGTACAGGCAGAAGAAGCAGTCGAAGAGTAAAACAACATCAATTAACAAGTCGTTATAATCCAGACACTGGACATTTACAAGTTTGCGTTGATAGCAATTTGATGCAATTACGTAACCTTATACCCGAAGATGCCATTTGTATGATTGGATTGACCCTCCTAGATCTTTATGGTGAAGAAAGTGATTTGTTTGTAGCTGGAATGGCTGCTGGTAATGAACGCGTTGCTATTTTTAGTTTATATCGCTATGATCCATGCTTAAGCTTTTCTACTGAACATTGGTTTCAAATTGAAGAGGACGAGAAAATAGCGGAGAAGGAGCGTTCACGCATCACTCTACAGAGGGGATGCAAGCTTCTTGTACATGAGATATGTCATTTACTAGGCATAGATCATTGTATTTATTATGACTGTTGTATGAATGGATCAGGACATTTGTCAGAGGACTTCAGACAACCAATGCATCTCTGTCCCGTTGATCTACATAAGCTACACACATTGGTCGGCTTTGATGTTCTAGATAGGTACAAGGCGCTACTTCAGTATTATAAAAAGCATGGTTTTAAAGAGGAGGAACAGTGGGTGCAGAAGAGAATAAAATTCATTTGCCATAAATGATAGTGGTAGATTAAATGCAAGACTACCTAAACAAGAATAAACCTTGTTGTTCAAGACAGATTGGATTTTAAATAACCAATTGTCTATAAAGTTTGGATTTGACTTTTATTTATTTAAAAATTTATGTGCAAGCCATTTTTAGCTCGACTATTCGATAAGAATAAGTAGAGCTATTGCAGTCACCCGAGCGTCGGCGTCGGCGTAACCACTTATGTTAAAGTTTTTGTAATAGTTCAAATATTTTCAAAGTCCATTGACATATGGCTTTGAAACTTTGCACACTTGTTCACCATCATAACCCCAACCTGTAGACAGGAGGAGGTAACTCTATCAAGCATTTTGACAGAATTATGCCCCTTTTTCGACTTAGAATTTACGTTAAAGTTTTTGTAATAGTTCAAATATTTTCAAAGTCCATTGACATATGGCTTTGAATCTTTGCACACTTGTTCAACATCATGACCCCAACCTGTAGACAGGAGGAGGTAACTCTATCAAGCATTTTGACAGAATTATGCCCCTTTTTCGACTTAGAATTTATGTTAAAGTTTTTGTAATAGTTCAAATATTTTCAAAGTCCATTGACATATGGCTTTGAAACTTTGCACACTTGTTCACCATCATGACCCAAACCTGTAGACAGGAGGAGGTAACTCTATCAAGTATTTTGACAGAATTATGCCCCTTTTTCGACTTAGAATTTACGTTAAAGTTTTTGTAATAGTTCAAATATTTTCAAAGTCCATTGACATATGGCTTTGAAACTTTGCACACTTGTTCACCATCATGACCCCAACCTGTAGACAGGAGGAGGTAACTGTATCAAGCATTTTGACAGAATTATGCCCTTTTTTCGACTTAGAATTTACGTTAAAGTTTTTGTAATAGTTCAAATATTTTCAAAGTCCATTGACATATGGCTTTGAAACTTGGCACACTTGTTCAACATCATGACCCCAACCTGTAGACAGCAGGAGGTAACTCTATTAAGCATTTTGACAGAATTATGCCCCTTTTTCGACTTAGAATTTACGTTAAAGTTTTTGTAATAGTTCAAATATTTTCAAAGTCCATTGACATATGGCTTTGAAACTTTGCACGCTTGTTCAACATCATGACCCCAACCTGTAAACAGGAGGAGGTAACTCTATCAAGCATTTTGACAGAATTATGCCCCTTTTTCGACTTAGAATTTACGTTAAAGTTTTTGTAATAGTTCAAATATTTTCAAAGTCCATTGACATATGGCTTTGAAACTTTGCACACTTGTTCACCATCATGACCCCAACCTGTAAACAGGAGGAGGTAACTGTATCAGGCATTTTTTTTACTATCAAGCACTAAGAATAGTCGAGCATGCTGTCCTACCGACAGCTCTTGTTTTAAATCCAAAATAGGATAGTTTACATGTGTTTGATATGTTTTGTTTTAAACCATATATTTATACAAATCATGTATATTTTAAATTATGTATAAATTTGCTTTTAATTGGATGAAACACCTTCTATTTGTATTCATTATAATAACCTTTGAATATAAAGTCAGGTTTATATACAACATTTGGTATATATCTTATATTTTATACATATGAAAAAAAGGTATGTGTATTTGCTTTACAGTGCATATTGATAAATGTGTAATTAATGTATGATATTAGGGGATATAGAAATGGTCTCCGTCTGTCCCTCTGTCTGTCTGTTGACTCGAATAAAAAATATTTTTTTAGTAAATAAGAGGCCATTTAACTGTAAATTGAAGAAAAGAAAACAATAGTGTTCATTATGTAACAAAAGAATAAGGGGCCAATGTCTCTCTTTAGTAAACAAAAAAAAAATAACAATAGAAATGGCCCCTTAATATATGACTAACTGGTAGCATGTCAGTCTATGCATCTGTCACACCTTGTGTCTGAGTTATAACTCAGCCATTCATACAAATGTTAACCATAAGGAGACAATGTGATACGGTATGTGCAATACACAGAGTCAGACCTATAATATCAAGTTCAAGGTCACAATTGAAAATCAAAGTTCAACATTTTCTGTTGAAGGCTTTAATAATAAATTTTGTGTTGGGTCCATAACGGTTTACTTTATCAAGGGATTTTGAAATAACTTGGCACAAATGTTTACCATAATATGGTGTTGTGTCATGTGCAAAATAAAAAAAACGTTTACCATGATTCAAAGATGTGTCACATGCAACACCCATCCCTACTTCCAATGTCAAGGTCAAAATTGTAGATCAAATATTAACATGGTCTGTTTTTTTTTCTTGTCCAGAGAATAACTCTTCAAGTGTTTAAAAAGTGATTCAAGTGAAACTTCAAATATAAATAGATAACAGCGAAAGAGAGTGCACTAGAAGAGAACCATAACTACCATCATTCTTAAATAATTTTCAAATTGTCTCCCTTTAGATACTTATTTCAATGATGAAACCTGCTAAATGTATAGCTGTTGACACATACACAGGAGTTATTTCAGTTTATATCGAATATGAAATTTGATTGTTGTGTGTGCAAATCTGGTATTTAATGAATTAAGTCCAGATTCATGCCACAAACTTTTTTGGATGGGGTGGGGGCAGGGCTCATTGGAACACACATGTGTAGAGCTTGCTTGTTTCAGTATACATTTCTGCAATTTGAAAAAAAAATGTATGAAAGTGAAGAGGCTGTCAAATATAGTCCATTCTTTTAAAAATATTGAAAATATATAAACAAGTTAAAATAATAATAAGGGTTATTTGTTGAAATAATAAAGTTGTAGTTTTAGATGTGAATTTTGTTTCTAGTTATAGTTCAAGTAATATTAACATTAATAATGTCATATATACATGTATATTGATGATGATAAATAAGTATTCAAAACACTGTGATTCAGCTTAAAGCATGAAAGATTTGAAATTATTATTATTATTACTATTTTTGATAAAATTGTATTTATATGATTTAATAAGTTTATGTAAAGGAAATATTAATAACACAGGTGAAAGAAAGTCAGTCTGGTGTTAATACAGTGCCAGACCAGTCCATATAAACAGTCTTGATTAAATAATTAGATTAATAATTTATAATGATTAATTTAAAAGGAAATGAATCATGAAAAAAATTAATTGTTTTTTTTTCAATATATCTTTATAATATTACATGTATATGTTATAAAGATTACTGACAGATTATATTCTTTGTATAAATATATTACATGCTCTTAGCAAAAGACCATTTATATACTGTCATATAACAGATCCGAATCCCAACAGTTACTTTAGATTATTTCATGTAAGGAAGCTTACTATCCAGCTAGCTTATGAAACATTGGTGATTCTACTCAGGCACCCTTGTCTGAAATAATGCACAGAAGGGCACCAGAGGTCTTCCTCCATCAGTAAAGCTGGTAATTCACCATATGACCAATACCGTGTCAGTGTGACGTAAAACCAAACTAATGAGAAGCAATGCTACAAACATGAAGTACATGTATTATAAAAACACAATACATGTAAGTTATAGAATTGTGTATACCGTGTAATTATAAAGAAAACTTGAGTCTGTAGAACTGACAACAAATGATTATAATTATACTGTTATTACTGTTTTGTATTATACATCTATCTAAAAGGGACGCCCACCAAACTTCTTTAATAAGGGAATTGTTTGTAAGCAACTTTATTAAACCTGTTACTATGCGCGCTGCTTTATACTGTAGTTGTTCTAATGATTGTTTTTCATATAGTGTATGCATCTGTGAAAGTTTCCTTTTTATAGTTATGTCGTTGACACTTTAATGGCTGTTGTCCTGCTTTTTTAAAATCAATCTTTAATGTTCCAAAAAGTCTTATGTAATTTTCAATTCATGCATATTTTTAGCTCGACTATACGAAGTATATGGAGAGCTGTCCTACTCGCCCCGGCGTCGGCGTCCGCGTCCATATTTCAGATTAAAGTTTTGGTGCAGTAAAATATTTTTCACTATAACTTTGTCATTTCTTAAGGTATCAACTTCAAACTTCAAATATATGTTCCTTATCATCAACCACATCTTATGTGACAAGGTTCATAACTCTAGCACCAATATTTTCAGATTTATCTCCCCTTGAACATAGAATTTTCCTTAAAAAATACTATTTTTTACTGTAACTTATTTATTTCTTAAGGGATCACCCTCATACTTCAAATATATGTACCTTATCATCATCCCTATCTTATGTGACAAGGTTCATAACTAGCACCAATATTTTCAGATTTATCTCCCCTTGAACTTAGAATTTTCCTTAAAAAATACTATTTTTTACTGTAACTTCTTTATTTCTTAAGGGATCACCCTCATACTTCAAATATATGTACCTTATTATCATCCCCATCTTATGTGACAAGGTTCATAACTCTAGCACCAATATTTTCAGATTTATCTCCCCTTGAACTTAGAATTTTCCTTAAAAAACATTATTTTTTACTGTAACTTATTTATTTCTAAAGGGATCAACTTCATACTTCAAATATATGTACCTTATCATCATCCATATCTTATGTGACAAGGTTCATAACTCTAGCACCAATATTGCAAGAATTATCTCCCCATCAACTTAGATTTTTTTACTAGAAAAATGTTATTTTTTACTATAACTTTTTTAGTTTTAAAGGTATCTACCTCAAACTTCAAATACTTATTTTTATCATCAATTACATTTTATGTGACAATGTTCATAACTCTTGAATCAATATTTACAGATTTATCTCTCTTTGAACTTAGGATTTTCTTTAAGAAATATTATAACTTATTTACTTTTTAAGGTGTGTGACAAGGTTCATAATTCTAGCATGACTATTTCTAGAATTATTTCCCCTTGATCTTGGAATTTATGTTAACAAATGTTATTTTTTTACTATAACTTAATACATTATTATACATAATTGATTTTTCTTTCATAGTTTTGTCCTCCTTACTGCGTCCAGTATTTTATTAGTCGAGCTTGGCTGTCTCCTGTGACAGCTCTTGTTTATTATTGCTATTGTTTTGTTAATGAGTTTTTAAGTTTATTTTAAAGTTTGTATTTTATGCTGTGCATAAGAAATGTCATGGTTCCTTTGCAAAAAAAACTTTTTTATGTTAACTATAAAAAATATTTGTTAAAGGGAAACAACCTGGAAAAGTATTTGATCATAATTTAGGAAGAGTTATTTTACTATTATTGTTGTATGTATAGTAACTGCCATAAAATTACTTCAGTTTTGTGATAACTGTACATGTAATTCTCAAAATACTTTTAAATTTATAGGGTGAAGGTTTCAGAAAAGTGCCATAAAAATTAAAATTTTCAGCTGAAACATACCAATTCCATTCAGCGTTAATTTTGTTGTTTATAAAGAACTGTATGTGACACTGTGCAACATATGCCTCTATGCTAAATTTGCCTCTGTGCTACATGTGCCACTGCTACATGTGTAACCATGCTACTGTGCTACATACATGTATGTCACTGTGCTGTATGTATGTCACTGTGCTATATATGCTACTGTGCTACATAAGCCACTGTGCTACATGCATGTCACTGTGCTACATGTATGTCACTGTGCTACATGTATGTCACTGTGCTATATATGCCACTATACTACATAAGCCACTGTGCTATTTTGTGTCACTGCGCTACATATGCTACTGTACTACATATGTCTTTGTGCTATATATGCCTCTGTGCTACATATGCCACTGTGCTACATATGGATTAAGGAGAAGGACATTACCCAGATTTTTTAATGTTTAAAAAGAATTTCAAGGTTCTTGTTTATATGTTAGGAATACATAGTTATTAGATTTTGTTGACAATAATATACAACATTGTAGTAGTGTTATGAAAATTTTAACCAGTGCCTGATTTGATAGAATTCTTTTATTTTGTGATAAAAAGTAATATATATTTGTAGTTCTAGAAGTAGTAGACACAAAATATGTGTCTCTAATAGAGTATATATATTCTAAGACAGTTGTGGTTGTGAAGGTTACCATAGGTTATGATAGTTAACCCCCCCCCCACACACACACACATACACACCCGGTGAAATTAAACAGGAATCAAACTATTTCTCGTAGTCAAGTATTTGGTGCTTTCAGAATATGTTAGAACCCTTACTGAATTGTTATTTTCAAATATCAATATTTTAAAACAGTTTTATTTATTATATCTAGGTCTGTCATTCTATAATTATGTGAAAAGAAATATATTTCATGAGGAAAAAAGGAACTGTTTGCTTGTGTTAGTTGGTGTATTTGGAACAGTTTGTGATACTACTGTATTTATTAAGTCATTATTAATTGTCTTTCAAACATAAAAAGAACTATGTATAAATATTATAGTATAGTTAGTATAAATGTTAATATAACTTGTATAATGTAGGTAAAAATGGTGTAGTTTTATACATACTTTGTAGATGTATATTTATATTTTATGTGGCCTATGAACTGAACACCTGGCCCAATGTTCACTAAGATTTAAGCATCAGGATCAAAATTAAAAACTCAGGTATGCTCCATTCTGCCATTGTTATCATCATATTAGATATTCAATATAACTTTGATAAAAGTGCACTTGACATAGCATTTTTAGTGAATTTTAGAATAGATTTTATTGTTACTTTACAAGATATGGCCGTTTTACAGTGGATCCAAAATATTGATCTTGAACCTGAAGTTGATCCTCACTTTGATCCAAATTTTCTTGTATATGTATGGATATCCTCAAATTTATTAAAAAAATAGTGTAATGATTCTTTGTAAATCAGCAAATTTCTATATTTTGTTTATACATGTATACCATTTCATTTTAACATATTTTACAATCAGTTTTAATGTCATAAAGCTACGTAAATGAATCGGGATCTTTTGATCCTGATCTAATTTTTTTATATTTAGTGAACACAGGGCCTGGGTCCAAAGTTATTAAGACATTTTCAAAACTCAAACTCCGATCTCAGGTATTTGATTAGTCAGAAACCACACTAAAGTTTACTGACCACCGAGAGTTCTGAGATTTGTAAATGAACTCAGAAAATTTTATAACCTCAAGATCAGGTAAATGCTAAATGTCGGAGTACATGCTGTAGTTTGACAACTCTCCCAATGATTTAAAATGAGTTTATAAAGTTTGTGAAGATTTTTGGTCTCATATTGAATGATTTTCAATGTTAGTTTGCATTTCTATATCACTTGTTTTGTCTGTTGTTCTTTTGTTATTTTTTTTTTCTTTTTTTTTTTGCTTTTTCATTTTTTGCTCTTTTTAATTTGTTTTTTTTTTTAACAATAAAAGAGGACAGATAAATGTGATTTAATGTAATTAGTGATATTATTGAAAAAGAAATCCAATATTTCAAAACTTACCCTGTCTTGATCTTTTCATTATTTGTATAAATCTGTATCAGCTGCAGAAATTATTGTTTGAATTTTAAAAAAGGAATACTTCAAAAATGCGTGTATGAATAAAATATGGTAATAAATTACTTTTAAATGAATGGCACATACACGAAATCATTGCCACATGGATAAAGCCCTTCTTAAAATAGCAGAATGATATTCATCAGGAATATTATAATTATTCTGTTAACCGTACAGTATGCATCTGTGGTAAATAAAAGAGACATTCTATGTTACAACTCTTTCTTGAATCCACCATAAGCTTATGG